GAACTTAATCAGCGTCAGTCCCCCAAGAACAGCACTGCTGGACCACCACTTTGTACTGAAGCATCGTTTATTAATCACCTGTATCAAGCACACATCTGCTCAGCAACGGTGCGTGACGGGATACAACGGTTGACATCTAACCCGAAGGGAGGCACGTGGTTACAGGATCCAGCACAGTGGGAGGTGTACCAAACCCTCTGGAAAGACAACCCGGGTGCAACACGGTGCTCAGGCTATGTTGTTAGGAGGCTGGACACCAGTGAGAGTAAAATTAGGGATACAGCTAAGACCGAGCTGACTTGTGCTTTGGCCATTGATTTAAACACCAGTTACCCTACAACTAGGGTAGGACTATATAGGTTGGTGCTACACCAAGGGCTATTGGGAGGGAGCAGCACAGACCAGGAAACCCAGCAAGCATCCGAGCGGAAAGCCTCAACACTTCTGCACCTAAGCAGGCAGTAATCTGGAGATGAGGAAAGCTAGGCTCATCCAGGCACACCCCATGACAGATGTCTTGGATTGAATCACCACGCATACTTCAGATACAATCTAGAATTAAGAAACTCATAGGTTTTAGCAGGGCTAAAAACTTTTGCCAAGCCACCAACAGATCACTGAGCCATGAGTGAGCTTCATCATGATTGAAAAAGTCTCTAAAGGCAGAGGATGAGGAATAATGATAAAATGCTTCTGCTCTGCAGGAGCTTCTAAACCTCCCTGTACCCCACAGCCTGCAGAGAGGTGGATCCAGTGACAGGACACAGATCAGCATCTTCAACTCTTGCCAGGAGGAAAATAAAGAAAAGCATCTTTGGGGTTTTTGATCAGCTCAGTGCTCAAACCTGGTAAGTGAACATCCAGAATAAAAAATCTGGTAGCAGGAGTTTTCCTCTTTTGTTCAGCTCCTATTAGAGCAGCTGAACGAAAGCCCAGCCAAACTCTGGTGGAACAGCTCTACCATGCTGCATCAACAGGCTGTAGCTCTTCTCTAGAGATTAATCCTGGCACAGCTCTTTAGTAGTTGAAAATCCAAAGCATAATTCTGACTGAAAAAGAGAGATTCTTGAAATATGACAGAGCAGCACCATTCCTAGACAGATGCATGTGAGAACTTAAACACACTTAAGTTCTGCACCTGCACCCCAGCATCTCCCTACCCTGGTACTACTGTAGGTCAGACCTCACACCAGGGGAGCTCCTTGTCCCCATACAGGTTGGCACTTCAGGATGGCAGGAGCTCTTGGATCTCCTCTGGCCAGCTTAATGATGCTAACACAACAGCATTCAACATGTGCATGTCTGGGACAAAATGCTTTCACCGCTAGCTCAGCCCATCAAGGACAGCAACATCACAGAGCTGAGAAGGTCAGTCAATACCCACCAACACTTTAAAAATTGCTCTTCACATAGGAAAAACCTTCACCCAGTTAATCATCCAACTCCTCCCAGACACTTCACTAGTGCTTCACTGCAAGGACAGTTAAATTAAAAGCAATGAATCACACACCCCAACTATGCGAAGCTGCTTTACAGCTATGTACACCAAAGTAGCGTCATTCCCAGAAAAATCTCATCAGCAAATCACACCTTAAAACTCCTTGTGGGATTTCATTTTCTTTCCCTGGCAAGCCCACCACCTCAAAGGCAACAGAAGAATTCATAGATTGGTCCTTTCTGGGGGAGTTTGGGAAGGGCCATAGCAGACAGGACTATACACCAGCACAGAGAGGAACTCAGACTCAGGAAATGCTACAGACATTAGATCTCCTGACACACCACACACAGGGCAAAAAAAAAAAGAAATCAAGAGGGACTTTTAAGTGCAGGATTCCAGCAAGTCCAGCATCAGCAAGATGCAAACAGTAAACTGCAAGGTAATTCAGGTATTATTCCAGGGAAGGTCAGACATGGCTCAGGCAGCTGCCTGCAAGTATTTAAGTTGGAGAAAAGAATCCATAAGGGCTCTCCTCCTCACTAAAATTGGTACCAGGGCCACAAGCCAGAATACACTGGTCACCCTCTAAGCAGGGCTGTTTCACACCTGCAGGGAGAGGCTCAGCTGGCTGTACTGTGGGTTTGGACACCGCTGGGAAACAGCCTACCCCACGCCAGCAGCTGCATGAGTGAGTGTCTGCCTGCACACTGAAGCCACACGAGCAGAGCATGCTGTGGGGGAAGCAGTGATGCTGCTCACCCAGGGATTTTTTTCCCCAAAAAAGCATGTGGCTGTTGCCCCTGACAGTGTGAAAGACCTTCTCCCAGCCAGTCAAGTCTGATGACTGATTAAGCCCTTTCCATACAGGATCTCGGATTGCCTCAGGCCCTTTGTGTGACCTATGAAGGACCAAAAGTGTCAGTGCTTCTAATCTACAAGTCTAATGGGTTAATGCAAAACCAAAAAGCACAACACAGAAAAGCCAAGCGTGGGACCTACAATGGACAAATACTTGTTCTTATAAGACTCACAGGGCAGGAGTCCTGCTGAGACACAAAGAATACTGCGTTCTGTAGCACTCT